CAAAATCTAATTTGAGGGATTCTAAATTGTTTATTATCAGAAGATTCTGGTAATGAACATAGCAATGTTACCAACTTATCTTTCTCATCCATCCTGACCTTGATACTCTTGAGTTGAAAAATAATGTTGTCACTCAAGTGTTTCGATACTTTCATACATCTCTCATCCTCAAAAAATACAATTTTCTTTGTGAGGGATTTAGTTTGGTACAAGCTTTCTAGCTTTGCCCATAAATCGGCAGCCGCCTTTTCACCTACTATAAAAAATAGTATCTCATTCACTAAACAAACGTGAATTGTGGCAAGGGCTTTCCTATCCAATTCTTCCCAATCATCATCCTTATTTTTTTTTTGTTTCCTAGATATTCCCTGTAGTGCCTTATAAAAACCTTGTTTTACCAATATATCATGAACTTTTATTTTCCATAGTTCGGAATCATTTCTTCCACCAAACTTCTCTCGAATTTTTTTAAATCACTAAACACTTCCCTTGAGCTCTGATATTATTTCTTGGTAACCGAGACTATGTTGATCAACCCTTGTTGTAGTGAATACCTCACTACAACAAATCTAACACCTCGAAACCAGCTCACCTTTCACCTAACATATCGATTCCATGAAAATCCGTACACCCAAGAATCAAATATATGGGGTAGTAAATTTGAATACAATGAAATCAAGAGAAAGTAAAATAGAAACTCTCGTAGCACAATCATACTCCACAAACAAAAATTAAAGCACTATCAATGCACAATATACGTGGTGCACCCAAAATCGGGCTACGACCAACCAGCAAGGAAATTATTTACTATCAATTTTCGTGGTATGTAGAAATTACCTTATGATAAAAATACATATAAAAAGAATTTTCCGGAAACCATCACTCGACTCCATTCTTCATTACCATCCACCAATACTACTGCGAAAACTACTGCCTAAAAAACGATGGTAGGTTTACTAAAACCCCCAATCTGAGGCCTTACGAGGACTTCGATGTAGGACTGCCATCTACTGATGATATCAAAATTAAAGTAACTGATACCTCTTTCTTAGTGGTACACATGTGGTTACGGACACGCTAAACCCTCCTTATCTATCAAACAAATTCCTAAGGATCGGCAAGTCCTTTAAAAATTTAATCAAATGTGTGGGCCTTATCCCATTTTTTATTTTTGGCTTGATGTCGCATGAGTTAACTAATTAAAAAAATAATTTAATGACAATAAGATAGGTGACAACCTGTTTAGCTATTCATGTGTAGCAATCTATGAGTAAATTTGAGGCGTGAGTATAATTTATCTTTGGTTTAAGATAGTCATAATTAATTTTGACCATTGGACGTAAAAGTGGATGGCTACATTTTATTATATGAACCAAATTCAAACTTTAAAAAAAAAAATTTCGAATTTTGGGATTGTTACAAGTAATTGTAACCTCCTTATATTAAAAGTAAGGGTGCAGTTGGCATACGGATGCATCCATAGCTGTAGAAGTAAGGTGCACCTTCAAATTTTATCATGGTATATAATTTTGATGTAAAATGTTCTTAGGATTATCTAAAAATCTATTTTTATATAAAATTTTAAATTTAAAAAATAATTAAAATCAAGTAGATCTATAAATATATTAAAATCTTGAAAATGGATGGTGTAGATAATATGTTGTAAAATACACTATTTTTTAGACTTAAAATCTTTTTATTTTTCATGGTCATGCATCTCAATGTCGAGATGATCAATCAAACGGCTTTTCAACATTAAAACCATAGTTTCCCATGGAATTTTGAAGTGCATCCATAGTTCTACATTATAAGATTGCATCCTTATATAAACTTTTTCCTAGACAATCTCTAATTTAAATAAAATAAATGGAGCCAAAAAGGAAAAGGTCAAATAAAATAGAGTGCCATAAAATTATTCATTCGAAAAGACATGATATGTTCGGATTCGAATTTAAAAAACAGGGCTAAATAAACATCTGTCTTTGCGTGGGTTTATATTATGTTGGGAAGGATGATCAATTGTATTTATTTTCAATATAGAATGGAGAATTTCACTTCACAATGTTAGTGATCAACTAGTAAACAAAGATTATTACCTTGTTTTTTTCGTTTCTGTTCAAAAGAAGAAATATTCAATCACAAAATTGACATAAATAACATAGTAACGGTAACTTTAAAACTTTTTATGAAAGTCATGCTTCAAAACTCGGGCAAGTCCATTTGGAGCCGACTACTGAGGTAAAACTCGGGTTAATCAAAAACAAAAAATTTATAAAATTATATCAAATGGTAGAATCAAATATAAGTATTTTATATGTAAGTTGGGTGTTTTTGTCGATGATTTGTGAGTTTTTCTGGTCATATGCCCCATTTTTGTATTTTTCTCCTTTTTTTTTGGATTCTTTTAACATGTCTCCAATTGTAAATCAATCTTTGTAATATATATTTTTCACATTTGAAATTTTATGTTGTTTTTGTTCATTTTTATTTTTTTATTTTATTTTTAATGATTCTTTTTTTTTAGGGTTTTTTGGCCATGTATACTACCCCTCATGAGTCAATTAGGACTCATCCAAGTAAATAGCCTCAGGCCAGAACATTGATGGAAGTTTTTTTTAAAAAAACAAAAATTACGTAATATAATGATATTTTAGCGGGATTATATACAATGATACCATTTACCTTTAGTACAGGGAGGTCTCAATTACTTACAACCGTCGCATGTGAAATCTGCTAGCTTGGGTGTGTCACAAAGTTCGAAAAAATTTCTTTTGAACTTTGAGCTTGGTCAATAAAATAAATGTAGCCACTGAATTTCATATCCAATGGTCAAGAATAATTGTGACCACTTTATACGAAGGGTAAATAGTATCATTATATACGTTCTCTATTTTGGCTTATTCAAAAAACCTTTGTCTTTAAAGGAGAATTTTGATAACCTAATTAGAGTGTTTTTTGATAAGACAACCTGTGTCGCCACATTAACTTGATTATTTTATTCGTTAAACACATCAATTTGATTTGTTTACCCTTTACAGTTTGAAAGTGATCTGATCTGGATTTTAACATAGTTCATAAAGTGAGTTTAAACCCTTTAAGAAAGTCTACCACGTCATCCATGCATTTAATTCTTATGTAATTACCTTTTGGAAAATTATTTCATGCAGTCTGTACATATGCGGTCCAAAAACTGTAAAGCATCCATCTTAAAGATAGATGCAAGTGGGTGTTCCATCTTAAAAATAATGGAAATTAACAGTCCAATTGTTTTCTAGCTAGAACTATTATTTTTAATTTTTAAAAATTATTTATTTTTTCATATTCATGATCTCCATGTTAGAGATTATTTGTTCTTAAAAATTAAGTCTTAAAATTCACCTCAAAAATAGATTTATTAAAAGGCCCACATTTCTTCATATGTAGGGTTGATCGGATAGAAACCGGATCTTGAATTTTTAGCTTATTTATCAATGCTTTTTCAAAAAAAGAAAATTGATGAGCAATTGAAGTTCTCCTCATTCTCCAGGTTGAATAAACTAAAAGTTTACGAACATATTGCTAAATAAATAAATAAAAATAGAGTAAAATCTTTGGTTGAAAATCATGGATCTGGTCGAACCATTTTCTTTTTTCTTCTCTCATGTTTATCGAGAAGCAAACTCGCTAGCTAACTCTTTGGCTAAAGGAGGTGCTTCGTTGCCGTCACTTTAGATCTCCTCTGATGTAATCTCTTTTAATTAGTCATCAATAAAAGTTTGGAACATTTGTCCAAACAAAATAAAAAGAGCAAAATCTATCATATTTCTCTCTTTCACAATGATTAGAATATGTACTCTTCTTTCTAACTTCTAAAATAAAAAAATAAAATACATACTCTTCCTAGTGAGAAAGAAAATGCTCAAATCCAATTTTACAGCATACATAAACAAGTTCTAAATCCAATTATGTCCATTCCGAGTGCCAACAAGTCTTATGAAATTTAGAACTTTAATAAGGAGTTTTAAATTTTATTTTCTTAGTAAATTTTCACAGTCGTGCATATTCCTAAATATTTTGTAATTTTATATGATATATAATTATTAATTATTTACATTTAATTATTTTAAAAATGTATCACCCCATATTTTGTTTGGGAACACTTTATAACTGGTACCACGCACATATGAAGCTAACTACCATTCTCAATCATCCTATCTAAGTGGACAGCTTGAAAGCTTTAGTGAAAATATCAAACACAATATTATTATTATTATTTGTGTAAGTTATTTTGACATGAAATTTACTACATACCTACTCCTTAAAAGGGGGCAACTAAAAGAATAATTTATAATAAAGTAAAATGACCTAAATGTCCTTGAAAGATAAGGAGCATTTTGGCCTATTTGTTTATCAAAACCATTCCTATATTATGGGAAGGAGCCCAATATGCTTTTATATGTAGATGCCGCCTCGTGTATCTAACACTTCATATGCCAACCAACTCATTTCAACAAGGTTTCAAAAATTAGATCGGCGACTTGGATCACCCATCTAGATTTTCGAAGGTTTCAAAAATTAGATCGGCGACATGGATCACCCATCTAGATTTTCGATTTGGTTCCATGAAACGGCAATTTGAAAAAATTAAAACAAAAATAAAATGGGGCCGGTTATGTCATGTTATCTAATAAAACCGGCTAAATCTATAAGAGAACCACCCAAAACCGGTTGGTTCAACAAATTAAAAAACAAATGTGAGCCAGTGCATTGACAGGACCGGCGGGTGGTTCTGTCAGAGAACTAGTATGAACGAGCCAATTCATGGGCTGATTTTCGATATTGGCTGGTTCTGTTCGAGAACTAGCATAAACCGGCGAGTTCACGAGGGAACGGCTCGATTCTCGATATTTTATAGGATCTGGATTGGAGGTTCCAATCCAGATCATTAATCTTTTAACCATAGGATTTCACCATATCTCAATCCGAAGTATAATATGTAATTAAAGAATCGTTCAGTATACCTTGTTGCCCATAAACCAAGATGGCTAATCTTAGCAAGCCCAAGAATTGTCCAAATAAAATTACTTCCCGATGTGCCATCCGATATCCAATGATAGTGGACCTGCGTAGTTTGTACAATTTACCAAAATGAGTCAATGTGCATAGAGAGAAGTCAATGTGCAGTTTCTATAAGGTGGCGACTTTTTTGTAGAAGCAAGATTATCATTTTTTATACGGTCAATTTTAGTTGGACAATGTAAATTTGATTGATCTTTTAAAACAATGTCAAAAAATAGTGGATCGTTTAAAATAATATCAAATCTACTCTAAGATAAAATAGATAATACTTCAATTTTACTTTTATTGCAGGAGTATACTCTTTTTTTTCTCCCTCTAGTAAAATCCAATATAGGAGTAATTGTAGTACCCCAAATTTTGTGAATGTAACATCTTCAACCCTTATACTAACGGAATAAAAAACAAATCCCAATTGAACTCACATGATTGAATAGAGACCATCTAATTTTTCAAGGGCAAAATCTAAGACACAAAAAACCTGAAATTCATTTTTTTTTTTTTGAAAATAATCATCTAGCAATTCTTAGATGGTTTCCAAAATTTCGGACTGGACAAATCCTCCCAAGTAGGTCTGGAGTAGATGCATAGTATGCTCTTGCAGGAGCAAAGCTTCGCGCTCTTTACTTATTTATCAAACAATAACATAATAGCAAAAGTGGGACTAACACAAATACTTTTACATGTGATCATTCTTTTCAAACAAAATATAAGGGTAATTTTTGTAGATTATCCAATCATTTGAAGAAATCCTCTAAGATCTCTCCTCCCTCCAATGTGGGTGAGGATTAGCCATGCTATTACATAAGCAATACAATTCACAGAATAATTAAAAATGCTATGTAGGATTTTACTGAAGGATCCAGTTTTGTCAAGTGAGCCAGAGAGCCTTTGGATCCAATTACGAGTGGATAATCTCGATACATAAATATGAAAAAATAAAATATAAAATTTGATATATTTTGCACCATTCATTTTGCCTTTTTATAAAGAGTTTTTTTTTTTTCTGGTAAATGAGACTCAAGCAAATGTTTGATGCATTCAGGGGTGTAGTTCAACAGTTCACTCCTCTTACACATCGAATAATTTTCTCAGTGTTGTAAAACCCAGTGATTTTCAGCCGGGATTACCGATCCAGATTCTAATTAGAGGGACCGAACTGGTTATGAGAGTGTGGATCTGGGTTCATACCCCCTTGAAATAACTAATTAAATAAAATTAAGCAGTTGTAGAGATAATACTGCATGACTTTACATTTTAAGAAAAAATAAAAAATACATTTAGTTTTTATTTAAATCAATATTGAAAAACTATTCTATATCTAACTTTTCAGCTGCAAACATGATGCAATACATGCTCTCTTTAGGTAGTGGCATTGATTTTTCAAAAGAATTACAAGGATATAAGTCAACCACCCCTATGGATCAACACTGAGACGTCCAATTTGCTACAAGAGATTCTCTTTTCATACTTTTTCTTGCAAGGCAAGTTGACTTGACCAATAGAGAAAAATAAAACAACACACATTTGGTTGGTGTGAAAATATTTTTTAGAAAAAAAATTTATATGAAAAAATTCTCTTATGTGGTTAAATGCAAGAATATTTTAATATCAATTAGTTTTTAATTGGTGTGAAAAGATGCAGCAAAATCAATTGATATGAAAATATTCCCACACTAAACTGCATGAGAGAATTTTTCATGTGAAAAGATTTTCTAAAAAACATTTTCACGTGGATTAAACGTGCTAATAACTTTATTTGATTTGTTGGATCTATTGAGAGTTGCGACTTGTCAATAGTAAAAGTGATATTTTTCTTTTAAACAATCAAGAATGTCCCAATTGCTACATATGAATGTAAGTTTTGTTTTACAAGAAGATTAGAATCGGTTGGTCATAAAGTAAAAGTAATGTAATTCTTATCGTTCGATAATGTAACTAAAATACTTACGGACTGTTTTGTTCCTTGAAAAATAATTTCCTGGAGATTCTTCCATCTATTATCATTTTCCATGGATCATGTCCAAATTGAAGAGAAATCGGTCGTCTCCGTTTTCACCTCATTTTAGTGAAAGAGATCTTCCAATTGAAAAGATGAAGAATTTATTTATCCATAAATAAATCCTCTTCACCCTAATTATTTATCTTTCCTACATATTTCTCTCTCTCTCTCTCTCTATTTCCGGTGAGTACTCAATCGACTCTTGAAATTTTTGAGAATTTTTTTTTTCCAAATATAAAAAACCAAAATAACCCTTTTAACATACCCATATAATATAGGGCTAGAAAGACGCCTTGGGTATTTCCCCGTACATTATTAGAAACCATTCTTGTCATTTAAAAGAAACAAAATAAGTAAGGAAAAAATTTATATCTGGGTGAGGCCCTAAACAATCAAATTAAGGCGCACCTCAAAATTTTTTAAAAACGTTGTTTTGATATGCAAAAATCCTGAAATCGATCATCTCGATTTCAAGATATATGGACATAGGAAAAAATTGATTTCAAGTATTGGAAATAGTACATCTTGTAATGCATTTTTGTAGACTATCAATTTTCAAGATTATCAAGTTTTTATAGATCTGCTGGATCTATACTATTTTTAACCCTTTAAATTTTATGATTAGATATGAAAATAAATTTTCAAAAGATCACAAAAAATTTTAATACTAAAATAACATATTTCAACCCTATTTAAAAGTGGACGTTAGTATACAAACCACATTACTGCGCACAAATTCCACCTCACTGAAACATGAGAGAGAGAGGACTCAAAGAAGAAATATACAATGAAATTGGGAAATGTTATAAGAAACATAAATTAAAAAGTACATATCAGGCGCCTCGACATAGAAGTAAACAGGTCCTTTTTTTCTCGGAGTTAAGAGAGAGAGAGAAGTTTAACAAGAAATATTTAATAAAACTGAGAAATGATCTGAGAAACATAAATTAAAAGGTACATACCAAATTCCTCGTAACTGAGGCAAACAATTATTCTTTTGTTAAGAGTTCTTCTATGAATGATGATAGCAATAAAATGTGGTATCGCACTTTACTTATTTATAACAGGCAGAAAGCTGAATGGACAAAATCTACCCCAAATAAAAAACAAAATTACAAAACATGGCATAGGTCTCAAATCCCTTGCACTTTGGCAACTCAATGAGTGTATACTGGACTATCCAATGCATATAGACACGCACATTAGACAGGTGAGAGAGGGAGGGAAGGGGTGTGGGGGGAATTTGCAAGCTCACAAGAAATTAAGAAATGTGGCGCTTTAGCTGTGGGATTGTATTAATATAAGACTATTTACTTTTTAATACAAAAAAATCAAATTAACCGCTACCATCGAAGAAAAACAAATAATTTGGGATCTCAATAAATGCTTTTAGACTTTGAGCCTGGTGAAGTACATAACTTCCTAATTTACATAACTTCCTAATTTCCCATCTAATAGGCTAGAGTGATTATGACCTTTTTATATAAAAAATAAATAATAGTATTATATAGCTTTTTTAAAGTTATTTTGTGATTGTATGGTCAAGTGACATGACAAACAGCATTAAAACTTTTTACCTAGTGTTAAAGAAAACTTCTTAAAGGTGAAGTGTGTGAGTATGTCATACTTTAATAATGAGTTTATCCATGGCCCATGGGGATTATGGAGGAGCATGGATGTTAGTAAACGTTGGTCCTAGGGCTATCGATGGTCTGGTCCAAGGATGGGCCCTAGTTCCCATTGGGGCAGGCCAGCTTTGTCTTGACCTTAGCCCAAGCACGGCCCCATCCCGCCCGGTCCTCGGCCACCTTTTTGTCCATATTTTGTGGCCTAGGCCCTAATTTTTTTAAGCCGTGTCTGGCCATGGCCAGCCCATTTCCGGCCCTAGTTGGTAATGGTTCATGCACCCGAGTGCAACTAATCTCCACTGCCCATCATCAAAATGTAGTGTCAGTTCGCCTTGACAGGACCACATATCATGCTTTCTTGTAGTATGATATACTTGTCCTCTCTCAAAACTCAAAAGTGATGAGTCATATTTTAAAGGCTATGGTTTACATGAGGCGCCCGCTTTAAACAGACCAAGTTCACCTCCAAACCCTACGGGGCGAAACTTTTAGAAGGCTTGAAAATCTATTTGCACCCCTAATTACTATTTTTAAAGCTCGAAAAGTGGTGCCGATCTATGAACACTTTAAAATTTTGAAATTAGATGGTCTTATCTAATATGTTACAAGATGCACTACTTTAAAGTTTTGAAATCTTTTTCTTCTTTTTTTTTTTCTTTTTTCTTTCGTATCTATACATCTCGAGCTGGAATGATGAATTGAAGAGTTTTATAACATTGGTGAAAACCTTTTATAATGGGTTTTTGAGGTGCATCTCACTTCTATAGTATAATTTTGACATCTTATATATACACTTTCCTATTTTAAAAAAGATAATTGTTTGGTGCATCCAAGCCCGCACTTGTTACTATGCAGGCTTGGAGATCTACACCATCTACCAAAGAAAGTGTAGATTTACACTATAAATAATAGTCATCTAAAGAAAAGTAAAATCAAAGGTTCAAATATTTTATCCAAAAAATATCATTTTTAGTTTTCAAAAATTTAATTATTTTTACAGATTTATAATTTATATGTTAAAGATTATATATTTCCTAAAAATTAGGATTAAATAATTCCATTTCCAAAAAAAATATATTAAAGGGTCTGCATTTCTACACGTGTGTCCGTGGACTCATAGAAACCATGTCCTTTTTAAAACCTGGCAAAATTAACAAAAATCTTGTAAATCTTTAATAATGAATGGCATCTTTTTTGAAAAACTGTTATTGGTAGTGACTTTATTGCGAGCTTGAAAAATATGACATGTTTCTCAAAAAGAACTCATCAGGAAATTTGTGGAGAGCAACTCTGTGCTAGACTTTGTAAGATAGTGAGGTGGTACGTCAAGGCCAATGATTTCCACAAATTTCTTTGT